GGTAGGGGGTGTCCTTTATGTCCACGATGTGCCTCTTGACACCCTAATGAAAATCTGCTCAAACTTGGGAAAGTTATAGGCCTTTGAAAAAATCACAGTTTGCACATGCTCAATAAAGACTTCTCAGATTTTAGCAGCTAAATTCCCCCTAAATTCCATCCACACTGGGTATGCATCAGCATGGACTGAGCAGGACTTTCCCTGCTGTTGCAGCTCTGGGCTGTGTTGGGTCTGGGCACCTGAACTGAGAGTATGGAGACTATGTCTCCTGTGCGCTCAATGACACCCCTCCTGCCCCCCGCCCTCTCCCGGAGCCCAGGTAGCATGGAGGAGGAAGCTGTCGGATTCAAATGCAGAGGGGACAAGAGTTGAACCTCTGGGGAGCAGTGGAGTAGATTGGGACAAGGAGCCTGGCAGGCATTGGGTGTTAGGGGGGATGGGAGACAGGGACTGCAACTGGCAGTCAGGGGCAGAGATGGGTACTGGGAACTGAGTGGAGTGAAGACTGGGCAAGGAGACTGGAACTGAGAACCCTTGGGATGGGGGGGGGAACAAGGTGATGGGAGGCCGATCTGATGAGAAGCCAGGTTGTAGGGCTGGCTGGACAAGGACTTGGGAAAAGGACCAAAGGGGCACACTGAAATTAGATAGAGAGGGAGGGGGAGATTGGAACTGGAAGCCAATGCAGCCAAGGGTGGGTGGTTAGGTGGGGAAACTGGAGGCCAGGGGTGGGGAGAGAGGCAAATCAAAGGAGGGGCTGGGAAGGAGGGAAATAGAATGGTTGGGTAGGAAGATTGGGACTGGGATGAGAAACATGAGGAATGTAGACAGGGAGTGGTAAGGTAAAGAGAATGGTACTGGGGCAGGTTGGTGGCGGTGGGACAGAATAATCTGTGCCCACTAGAGAACACTCCCTTCCAGAGCCTGCAGTGGAACCCAAGATTCCTGAGTCAGCAAATATCTGTGACACCTACTGGCAAAGTGTCCCATCCCCCTTTAGTTGTGGTCACATAAAGGAGGCCCACCTATTACTGCTACTATTGGTTACTCCATTATCTAAAGTGGCCGAGGTCTTTGCGGTGGATCTAAAGGTTCCAATCGTGCTGATGACCCATGTGGGTGTCAATGTGATGCCACCTGATGGAACTTCTAATTTTTCAGTTTACTTTTTTAAAACCCTAGGAAATGATACACTAAAAACTATATTAAAAGAACATTATCAAGGTTGCAAAGTCAAGCACTCAAAAGTTAGGAAATGCCGGAATGAAGACAGCCTGGGAAACCTTAATTCAACCCCCTTGTGCATATGCATTATGACAGTCTTTAATTACATGATCACATAACTATTTTTTCCATAGGCTCATTGCCTCAGTCAGTGCACAAAATGGACCTGCTTTGGGGGTGAATCAGGGTTGTGTAGTTTAGCAGACTGTTGTCCATAGGATTCCTGCTCCATTTAGTGCAGAAGTAGGAAGATGCATGGTGAATGTGGCAGGGAATTACAATAAGAGGATTTCATGGTTAAGGCAGTTAAATGCTTCCCTGGAGAGTTGGATTCTATCCCTTTCTCTGCCCCAAAAGCCCAGATACACGCAGGGATCCGCTGCAGGCTCTGGAAGGGAGTGTTCTCTAGTGGGCACAGATTCTTCTGTCCCACCCCCACCAACCTGCCCCAGTACCATTCTCTTTACCTTACCGCTCCCTGTCTACATTCCTCATGTTTCTCATCCCAGTCCCAGAGTATGGAGCCTATGTCTCCTGTGCTCTCAATGACACCCCTCTTGCCCCCTCCCCTGGAGCCCAGGTAGCATGGAGGAGGAAGCTGTCGGATTCAAATGCAGAGGGGACAAGAGTTGAACCTCTGGGGAGCAGTGGAATAGATTGGGACAAGGAGCCTGGCAGGCATTGGGCGTTCGGCAAATCCTGCCCAACCATTCTATTTCCCTCCTTCCCAGCTCCTCCTTTGATTTGCCTCTCTCCCCACCCCTGGACTCCAGTTTCCCCACCTAACCACCCACCCTTGGCTGCACTGACTTCCAGTTCCAATCTCCCCCTCCCTCTCTATCTAAAGGATTTAGGAGTTGCAGTGGAACAGCTTCAACAGGAGAGATTGAGCCCACATCCGAATGTTTCATAGCTCAGTGGTTAGGGTAATCTTCTGAGAGAGAGGGAAATCTCTGTTCAAATCCTTTATCCCCTATTTGGCAGAGAGGGGGGAACTGAACTTGGGTCTCCCACATACCAGGTGAGTATGCTAACCACTAGGCTAAAAGTGATAAGGTGGACACTACCACCTTCCCTCCCAAATTTGGTATAGGACTGATCTTGTAGGTAGCCTCTGCTCAGGCCCCACAGATGAGATGGGGGAGGAGCACCTATCTTCCCCCATTTTGTGGATCTCTCTGGGACTTAGACAGGAGATAGACATTCACATGCCTATTGTGGGGCACATGCCCAGAGGTGGAAATGAAGGCACCTGGGGAACTTTTACCCTGAAAACTTAGGTGCCAACTGAGTACAGGTTTTGCGAGAGCCACGGTTTTGTGGTTTGCAGTGGAATTTAGGGGTTTAAGTACCTATGTATCTTTGTGGATCTGAGCCATTGTTCCTATTTGATGTGCTAGGCAAGTCATTTAAACCAGCCTCTCACTACTGCTCACCCATTCTGTATTCCTCATTTCTGGGTGCCTGGCTTGAGAGTCTGGTGTCTGATTTGCAGAAATGTTGGATGGCATATAACACACAGTAGGTTATAAATAATATATATCTTTGTATGTATAACATTTCGACTGAATGCACCCTGGGGACATGGATTTGTCTCCTCTACCTCTGTACCTAATTACCTGATTTGAAACCTCAGTTAGATATCTAAATGCTAAAAAAAATATTTAAAAAATGGATCCATCTTTATTTGTGCCTGCAAAATTCCACTCTCTTATTTGTGTCATAAAAAGCTGGTGCAAAACTGGAAGCCGCTTTGGAAAACTTGTTCTGATTTCCACAATGCTTAGAGTATGCAGTGATTTCCTCTGCTATAGAGCAGGAGCCACAACTGTGGAGTCCCTCTTTGTGCAGATTCATCTTTCAAGGCCCTGTATTGTGGTGACCTTTCTTGGCCAATGAGGGGAAATTGGGCTAAGGAATTTTTCTGGGGTCTTTTAAGTAGTAGCAAAAAGTTCTAACCAGCCTAATAGGTGTTCCTTATTAAAATAAGTGATATTGTAGTTACTTTGTGACAATTCCTAGGGTTCTCGAGTTGTTTCCCAGCATATGTTAATAGAGATTTCAACTTGTTATTTCAAAAACTGACTAAATAATCAGGCTTTGAAAAAAGCATCGTTTATTCTCTTATTCAAATACACAGTCACCTCTCCGCAATGATAGATGGAAGTAAGCAGGGGCAGCAAGAGAGGAATTTGCCCTTAACTGCTAAAAACAGGGTGGCCATGTAAGATGTAGCAAACTACTGCAGAATCCTTTTTGAAAATTACTAGTTTTGAGACATGATCCAAATATTTGAACTGCAATCCATTACTTTCCTTTATTTGTATATAAAGAACCTTTCTTCATCTGAAGGCAGTCTTGTGGTTAAGGTACTGCACTTGGATTTGAGGCATCTGGGTTAAATTCCCAGGTCTGCCACAGACCTTTTTAAAATCCTCACTTAAGATGTCAAACTGACAACACCAGAAACTGAAATGTTCATTCACAGAACATCTATGACACAGGTAGCAGAAGCTGTTTTTCCACCATGTTGCTTCACCAATGTGACTCATTGGCCTGCTAAACCCAGGGTTGTGAGCTCAATCCTTGAGGGGGCCATTTAGGGAACTGGGGTAAAAATCTGTCTGGGAATTGGTCCTGCTTTGAGCAGGGGGTTGGACTAGATGACCTCCTGAGGTCCCTTCCAACCCTGATATTCTGTGATTCCATAAGATTCTATGATTCTCTTTAGAAGGACTGCTTCCTAAAGGTTAGTTAAAAGATGCTCAGATACCATACTGAGGAGCATGATATTAATACTTACCTAGGTACATTCAATCCTTGGATTTCCTGCTGCGTGTGACAACAAAGCTGCTAATTAGTGCTAATTGCCAGGGGATGTTTTTTGTACATTTTCCATATTTAAACTTCTTGGTATATGTATTGACATTTTATGAGATCCATTCATTTCATATGTAATTAAAGTTGATTATCAAAAGGAATTTAGTTATCTACTGAAGCAATTTCACTAGAAAATGCTTTCACTTAATTATATTTATTAAACTTTAAATCTATATTCTTTATCTAAAATATTTTTAAAAGCAAATTAGCTATTATTTTGTATTTTTCCAATTGCTTTTCAAGATCAAGTAGCTATCTTAGCAAATTACTCGTTATAAACTTCAGGCCAAACAGCCCCCTTTTGAAGACTGAAGAATAGCTAGTAGTAATGAGCCCTGATGGGACAAAACTGCGGAGGTTCTCCTCGCAGAGTTTTCACTAAATTCTTTTGGCTAGGGCATGGGTTTGCCTTTCTCAAAAGGAGGAGGTTGTTGGGCCCCAGACTGTATAGATCTTGGGGGATTCACTAAAAGCATGGGGCTATTCCAGCAGAGACTTTGTGCCTGTACATTGTTCCAGAGTCCTTTATCCCCTCTTGTATTGGACCTGTTCTAGTAGGGACTTTTCAGATTGTAGCTTCCCTGGAGCTCTCCATTTTTAGGGAGCACTGGGTGCCACGGTACCGAGGACCTTTCACTAAAGGTGCTACAGTGTCAGACTGTAATCTATTTGTGGTGATTTCCTGTTGGTTGGCAGAAGGAAACATGCATATAACACAACCTTCCCCATCACTCAGGTGTAGATTCCTGGAGGATGCTCTGTGGATTAGGGATTTGTTATAACTGCTAAATTTCTAAACTAATGTTTTCAAAATTTCTCATTCTGTTCCACGTTTCAGAATCTATTAGTGAAAGGTTACAATACTGACGGTGCAAAACCACCTGGCACCATCTTACCTTGAAGAAGGTCATTGTTGATCCATCTCTAACAGCCCCATATTCTATCTTGGTTTGCTTTGCCAAATCATCTGCTGAATCGATGGGGGATTCCATTCTCTCAACTGTCAGGAAGGCAGCCAAGTTGGCAGTGTAGGATGAGATTATGATTAAGGTGAAAAACCACCATATTCCTCCAACTATTCTGGTAGAAAGAGCTTTGGGCATCAGCTCTGATCCTGTTATAATATCATCAAAACAATCATATTAAAACATGTTGAAAGAAGTCTTTCTCTGGCAGTAGATTATTTTTAGGAGCATAATACATTTATGAACCACAGAATAATAAAAGAAATCTACACAGTAATCTCACATATGTACAGCTAACATTTATAATGGTAACATACTTTGAAGGGGATGTATGCCATGATACCTAACAAACACGATTATCCATGGGTCTGAACACCAATTTGTCTTTGAGATAATGTCACCTTTGGAGTTAACCTTTTAGACTCCTAGCAAGCTATACTAGCCATTTATCTGTATCTTAACTGCTTGTTACAAGTACTGTAATGAGGCTTTAAGCCTTAAACCTTCAGAAGAACAATACAGTAGAACTTCAGAGTTTCAAACACCTCGGGAATGGAGGTTATTTGTAACTCTGAAATATTTGTAACTCTGAACAAAACGTAATGGTTGGTCTTTCAAAAGTTTACAACTGAGCATTGACTTAACACCTTTGTAAACTTACACTATGCAGAAGAAAAATGCTGCTCTCCCTTTATTTTATTTAGTAGTTTACATTTAACTACAGTACTGTACTGTATTTGTCTTTTTTTTTTTTTTTTTTTTGGTATTTGCTGTTGCCTGATTGTGTACTTCCGGTTCCAAATGAGATGTGTGGTTGACCAGTCAGTTTGTAACTCTGAGGTTCTACTGTATCCCATTCACCTCTTAGAGGAAGTGCTTAAAAAGATGGCTTTACCCTGTCTCTCTTATCTACACATCCAGGTATGTATGGTCCTGCAGCCCTCACTCAGGCAAACAGTATCATTGCCTGATCAGTCAGTGGTGTTCCAGTAAAGTCAGTGGGACTTACTCACATGAACAAGGGCTGCAGGGGTCAAGGCCTAAAATATGTCGTCTTATAAGCCTATACTCTTTGTTTTAAAGGTAAGAAAGTTAAAGCAACTATACAGTCCCTTCTGGATCTCTACATGATGGTGCAATGTTACGAATAATAAATTAATCCCAGTTTAAAGGACAGAATGATGACTGAAATGGCATTAGCACATCCGACTGCACATCTCACATTGTGAGACTAGGACAATAAATGGATAATTTGTATGATTCATTTTACTTTTTAAGGGCATATAATTGACTCAGGAGGGTTAATTTGATCCCAGCTGTGAAGCAAAGTACTCCTAAACATTACGAGCCAAATACTGCCCTGACTGACACAGTATGCAACCTTGCTGACTTCAGTGGATTGCCTGGGGTTTAAGGCCCAGATTCAGACACGCACTTGATTGTGTGCTTATAGTCAACTGACTTCAGTTTAACTTCAGAGTTAAGCACACTGCATAAGTGTTTTGTTGAATAAGGATGGACTTAAGCAAATGCTTAAGTGCTGGCTGAACTGGGGTCTGAGTGTGTACAGAATTTGATTTAATTAATATTCATTATTGTTAGAGAAAGGTCCCTGTTGTTGAAGTGTTATGTCTTCTGAGCTACTTAATGATTAGGAACTTCAGACATTTCACAGAAGGTATTTAAGGCCTTGGAAGATTTTAACATAAAAACTCTATACAATTTGAGCAAAAGTTGAAAGGGTAATAATCTTCAAACCACAGGCAAACAGATTTAATTTAGCTTTTTATAAATATATGTACATCTCTCTTAAAGGTCAGAGCTAAGCATAGCCGAGGGCTCTGAGTACATTGATGTAGCTACCAAATTATGAGAGGTAACAGCAAAGCAGACTTCCTGCCGTGTGTAGCCTTTGTGTTGTACTGATTTTAAACTAGGCCAACAGTCTAAAAGTAGAGGTTCCTATTTAATTTAGGGAATCTTAATGTATCATTTCAAGAGCTGCAGATTCATCCAGATTTATGTTTGTTAATTGTGCTTTTCTTGGTGCTTTATCAGACTAGATTTTTTTTAATGTAGTGAAACATGATTTTTTACTCCTAAGGATGTATTTATTTCTAAACTGTAGTTGATCTAGCAAACGTAAGAGCAGGCTGCTATGTATGCTGATTCAGATCTTCATGAAGATGTCATTTTCTAAAAGCCTAGATAGTTATAGGAATATAAAAGATGTAGTTAGACACTGGTACAATACCTAGTTTTAATGTATAGTGATAGTAATAGCCAACTAAACTTCAGAGACCTTAGCAGCTTGCCATAAAAGCTGGTAGTGCAGCCTTCTAGTTAGAGGTACACGACAATAGATGGAGGTGGAGAAACTCTTGGTTACTGTAGCTTTTTGGCAAAATTATAATACTCCAGTGGCAAATTAGTTGTATAAATGAAACAGAAAATCTTTAATCTAATTAAACTAAGAACAGTACATTTTAACTTGCCACTGAGTGTTATAAGCAAGGGGATTGATCTTGTAAGATGCTGAGCACCCTCCACTCTCACAAAAGTCAATAGGAGTTGAGTGGGGTTCAGCATATTGCAGGATCAGGCCCATGATTTTTTTCAGTATTCACCATCTCTTGGAACCCACTTCAGCAAAGGGTGTAAGCACATTTAGTTTCATTGTTGTAATCTTGTGAGCCTTAAGCTCTACCTTTAAAAGTAAGAATGTGCTTATGCACTTTGTTGAATTCGGGCCTTAGCAGGTTACTTGAGTTTTTAAAAGTAATAGTTTCTCATACATTTTTTTAAATTTATCTGCTGACTATAATTAGAAGTATGCCATGTCTGGATACCTTCAAAGACCAGAGGAAATATCTGGGTTGAGAACTTCAAGGGAATGGGGAAATAACATCTAAGTAAAATGTACTAGCAAGATTCAGGGTCAGAGACAATACTTGCTGAAGTCTCTCTAGTGCCTTTTTATGGCAGACATGACAGCCAATCCTGATCCAGACTTTGCTCACGCTCTGTAGAAAAGAGAAAGTCTGATCATCACATTTTAAAATTTAATAAACAAGTGGCTTCCAATCAAGCACAACAAGCAGCTTCTGTTAACAAGAAAGAGCATAACAATAGATGCAGAGGTTAGCAACCATTCATCTCTTGTTCAAACTCTACATGTTACTGATGGTGCACTTACAGTCACACGTACCACAAGTTTGTACATGGAAACATTTGCTTCACCTTACAAATGTTTTTGTAAAGCTTCTTGAAAGACAAGCAGAGTCTGGTTGGGGCTGACTGTCATGTACCCAAGGTAGTGGTAACTAGTAGACACTGCATCCCACAGTTTGCTGTGGATGATGGTAAACTCCAAAAAGGCAGGACATTAAAAACACAAAATCTTGGGGTACTCTCACACACAAGGCAGTCACAATTATATACACACACCTGCCTGATACTGTAAAACCTTAGTCTGTACTTTACAGATACATTGGAAAAAACAAAAACACCTTATCTCCAATCTTCTTCAAAATAATTTTGGTGAGGGTATGTGTGTCCTATGAATATACCAATAAAACTGTGTGCATGTATTATCCTAGTTACAGTGTGAAATTTCTTCACTACCCTGTCTAAGAAAAATTCCTTTATTATTATTATTATTTATTATTTTACAAAATCCAAATTGGTATTCATGCCTATGAAAAGAATAAATTGTACCTGAATGAATGTAGGTATTCCTTCCTTTCTTAAATATTTGGGAATTTAATACCAATATATTGCTGTGACTTCCTCTATGTGTTGACTTTTTTTTTTTTTGGCCAAAAAATGTTTTCAGAGATGTTGAATGGAGCCCCCTATTGATACAATATAGCCCTTTAATGGGAAGCCTCAGTATACACACGCCATAAGCATAAGTGTTTAGTACATGTATCTGCGTGACTTCCCATATCGAGTGCACTTCGCTGCCCTTCATTGACATGCGAGTATCTCTGTGCAGTTTCCAAAATTCAGCAGCAACTGGCACTTGACTTGGTTAAATTCTAAGGTTGGATGCATTTACAAGAGGATGGGACTCAAACCTGCAGAAAAGCCAATAAAAATAGGTTTTGTTTTGGTTTTAAATAAGTTTGACAATTGCCAACAAAACTTAACAATCTTTGTGAAGAAATACCTTTTGACTGGCTGTTACTGTATGTGTTCCAGAATTGCTATGGCTATTACTGTCTATATTGGGATGAAGCCTACGTGAATAGAGATTTTTCCTGTTTTCAGTGTAGGAATTTTAGATTTATCATCAATAAAAATACCTTTGTAGTCATCCGGCTATTATTTTCTGTTTTGTCCACAGAAGCTCCCATATAGGACAGCTGACTTGTATGTTTTCCCTTCTAATTTCTGCGGTTACCATATTTTGTATTTAAGCAAGTGTTAGTTTCATTTCCCTTCCCTCCCTATCCCCACTTCACTGTGTAATCTGCTTTTTTAATTTCTGAGATCAGGTTTTACAATATATGTGGTAGCTACAGATGGTGGAGTTTACCAGCACAGAAGCCCGTGAGCAGACTGTGGGATGTGTGCAATAATGATGTGTGACCGGTGTACCTTGCTGCATGAGAGCTCCAACTCCAAACCAGAAACTATTTAGTAAAGTAAAATTGTTTTCCACCACATCTGAGTCAGGGTTGCACGGGTGGGGGTTATACCACTCATAGGGTGTAAACCTGTGGTAGTTAACAGAAACAGTCTGTAAACATCAGATAAAATACACACTGAGCCAGCAAACCTGCTAAAGAATGCAGAAAATGAAAAGATTAATGAAGAAAATAACCAAAACTAAAGCATAGATATGTGTCCCGCTACCGTATGCAAGCTGCAGAGCAGCACTGCAGTGCAGGGAGGGGCTTTCAGAGCTCCAGTTTTAGCATAAGCCCTACTTCATTAATCCTAATGCTCTTTGACTGTAATCCTCAAATATAAGACTACTGTTTCTTTCAAAGTTCCCAGTCATTCCCCTAGCCACGCGATTGATGACCTGCAGAGAGGGGGATGCACTGATTCCATGTAGCTGCTCCCTGGCGAAGCATGAAAGAAAATGGCACTCTAAAAGCAGTGCCTTTGGAGTACTATCTATATAAAGAACTGGCATTGGGCATGACAAAAAAACTATATTACAAGACCCGTTGGTGTTAAGATACTAATTTTTGTGGCACTTTCTCCAATAGTGAGGTTACAGCACTTTAATAATAATAAGTTGTTGCTACTTTGCGGGAGTAATTTCAGTGCTTAAAAACCATAGGGGTATATTTTCAGTATCATGTATAGAGAATTAGGCAGCCAGTTTCCCCTTAATGAGTGGAAGAATAGTGCTTAATTCCCAGCGCACCTTGCTGAAAATGCAAAATCTAGACCCTATTTTGGTCTGCAAAATAGTTGGCAGTTACTTTAAAGATTGTTCCTCCCCATGGTACTGTGCCTGCTGCTTCTCAGCTCTGCAGGGCACATTAGGTACATTCCTGCTGAAGTTTATGAATATAGCTTTAATTGACAATGCCATGCTAATACATTTTAATTACTGTTTCAGCAATATAATTAAGCTTTGAATTTATGCACTCTTGCAACCGGAGTGCTACGCTAAGCTGAAGTAATGAACGCTGATAGTAATGAACGTACTAATTGAAACAGTAGGTAGCTTAAGATGCCATTAACTAAACAATATCATCATCACTAGTACAATAGTTGTTACACATAATTGCGAGAGGCAATATAAAGATTAAAGATGACAATTTTCTACATACGCCATTTAAAAAAACAAAACCAAAACCAAGCCATTACATTCCAGCAAGTTTTTCACTGTGCTAATAGAGTGAAAACCACCTTTCTACAATCAATGAAATTGTTCTTAACTAGATTTGTGCACAAAGGGTGAAACTCAAAGGGTGAGCCACAGCCTATGTACCAGCTAACTTGCACATAAGCCATCGAAGTGCAAAGGCCTTCTGCTGGGCATTCACACACACTGAATTACAATGTTGACATGTTACAAGCAGGGCCGCCGCTTCCATTCAGGTGACCTAGGCGGTTGCCTAGGGCGCCAGCATTTTGGGGGGGCCGCATTTTGCCATCCTCGGCGGCAATTCAGCAGCGGGGGGTCCTTCCGCGCTCTGGGTCTTCGGCGGCAATTCTGCAGCGGGTCCTTCACTCGCTCCGGACCCCCCCGCCGCAGAATTGCCAATGACGACCGGGAGCGCGGAAGGACCCCTGCCTAGGGCGCCAAAAACCCTGGCGCCGCTCCTGGTTACAAGGAGTGTAAAACAGTAATTGCGCATGATCTTTTGCTGTGAGTCTTGCACTGCAAATTTTGCAGGGCTGGGCTCTTACATTTTTTTAAGTAATAAACATATTCTGTAGCTTAGACAAAAATGTATCTATAACAGAAGGAACAAAATGGCAACTGCTAGAAAATAGCAATAAAATTCAGTCGGCAGAACTACTTCTGCCAGACTAGAAAGGCTTTATTTTATTATATGACCTTTTGATTATTCAAAGAGCAAAAGTCTACAGCTGCTATTTTAAAAAAATTTGTGCTAGTATATCAGTGACTCATTCTCTATTAGAATTAAATATCAGATTTTCTTGTTATGCACCTTATTCTGTGCGATGCACTGTATAAAATGTTGATGCAATGAACAGAGGAGGGGCAGGTCAATGATTCTATTCCAGGACTTGGCTAACCTAGGAAATTTCTGTTAATATTTCCACTGTTGTTTCTCCTGATTCATTTCCATCAGTGGGAGCAGTAGTGTAGACAAGATGATGTAGGTTGCTGGCAGTTAAGCATTACTTCATGTAGGGTTTCTCTGAGCAAAGTTTGATGACTTGCCTATATCATTGATAGACACCTATGCTAGCACTTCCACCACTGATATCACCAGTGGAGATGAAATGAAGGTGGCAACAGAGAGAAATTTTAGCAGAACATTATTAGTGTAGTCACAGCTAATGTGGAGAAGAAAAAAAAAGAAACTGTAAAAATCAGTAACTTTACAAATAGTGATAAGGCATTGCTATTTGTTTAATTATTATGGCACTTTATACAAAATTTAAATAACAATGGTAATGCTACATAAGACCTCGGGAGAACTAAGATATGAGTCATGCCACCGAAAAAAAAATCTTTAGAAGTACAACAGACATGTCCATAAATATTATCCATGAATATTTCTCTCAATGAGAGTGCAACAATAAACAATGACGTTTATTTGTTATAGCACTGCTAGAATAGTGGAGATTTGTGTGCAAGGGTCTTCCTGAGCTCTGCCTCCAACAGCTCACCAAAAGGTTCTTGAGAATTGACCTGTCCAATCCCTGGTGAAAGAAGCAAATCTTTAGCAGATGAAAAACAGATTTGGAGGTGTGAATGGACTATTCTGGCTTTTCCTAGATATGTAGTCGGAATCCTAGCCTGGTGAAGCAAGTTTAAATGTCAGGTGTGTACTAAACACCTTCAGCATAACTATTTGCCAGCTAATTTAGCACTGCTTCTAGATACCAGTTCAGCAAAGCACTCAAGCAGGCTTTTAAGTTCCATTGACATGAATAGAACTTTTGCTGAATTGGGCCCTTAGTCTCCTGTTTTCCTAAATAAATAATCAGCAAGAATAATAAAGCTTGATATTTCTAAGGATTTTTTTAAAAATTAGAAAATGGGAATTATCATTGTTCCGGGGGCAAAGGACTGGTTTTATCTAAAGGGAGCAACGGTTAGCAGTTGAGAGAGTGAAACACAAGGGATGATGATTCAATAATATTTTCCTCTTTTTTGTTTGTGTTCATTTGAGCATGCATTTGGGTATAGCCCATTGGGTGGCTTTCTTGATTACTTGCTGTATCCAGTGCATTCTTTCATATACTTAAAGCTTTGTCTGTTTTCTGAGTTTGACATGGTTTTCCTAGAGAATTTACAGGGCTGAGGGCAAACTGGGACTTGTTTGTTTGTTTTTTTCCTTCTCCCTGTTCCTTGGTGGAGAAGGCTGTGGGATGTTTTTAGTCTTGGCGCACAACAGCAGAACGAAGTTAATCTGTCACTGATGGGCAGATTTAATATCAGCCATGAATGAGACGAGTTGTGTGCAGTTAGAATTATTATTCATGGTACAGTGAGCTACTGCAAGAGCTTGTGGGAAATCATGACTAATTGTACACAGTCTTGTGGCTGATATGAGATTAGCCGTCAGTTATGGATGAACTCTTTCTGTCACCCAGGACCTACACTAATGAGTTGTCCCATGATCCTCTAAGCAGTTTAAAACAAAACAACAATAAAACCTACAAATTGCCCCCCATCACTGTAGTCTGCCTTGGGCATTGGTGCTGAAACCAGCAAGCAGACAAAGTTTCACGTATATGAAAGAGTGCGTTTGGCAGTGCATCCACTTGAAAAGAAAGCTGTTCTGTGGGCCATAAAGAAATACACAACCATGTCAAACTGACCTCTGTGGGACTGCTCTTGTAAATAAGGGAGCTCGCCAATTAAAAGAAATCATAATTTAGGGTGCGGGGAACTCATGACAAGAACTATGTAACTCGTCTCAGAGCTGTATAGGAAATCAGACAGTGTGTATGCATATTATCAGAATGACTAACATGGGGCTACTATAATGATGCTATTTTATTACATTTGCTCTTTCATTGTAATCTCTAGAATCAAAAGATACAATTTTAATTGACTCAAATTAGTTTGAGCATTTACAAGAGTTTTGTATTAAATGTTTACATTGTATCTTTACTCTGATATGAGGAATATTTAGAATTTCAACAATACAGCATTACAGCTTTATATATTATCCTATAGCTACCTGTATTATATAAATGTTAGATCATGAAGAGTTACATTATTTGAAACTTGTTTTCTTGGAGTATCTACTCTGATGCTCTTTTTCCTTCATTAGCGTGAATTATGTCATTGTTTTATATTCAAAGCAATACATGATAGAATTGGGGGGAAAGCTTTACAAGGTGTCAGAAGAAAAAATATAATTGTTGGTAATGGAAAAACCAATAACCCAGACAAATATTTTTATGTATATTCCTAGGAAGGAGGAGGAAGGGTTGGAAAATGTTCAATAAATAGTGATGAAAATTATAATTCCAAATAGTGGAAGAAGTGAAAATAAATGATTTTTTACAGAGTCTTAGTATGGATATCAAATGCCATCAGAAAAAAAAATGTTTCAAATATGGCATCCAAGGGATGTTGAATTAATATTTTATATATAAAATATTGAAATTCCTTAGGAAGGGATATCTTGGAAAGTTTCATATGCAATGTAGATGTCTGATCCCACAAACCTTTATTCAAATGACTAACCCTTATTCATACTAGTAGAGGCATTGAAGTGAATGTGACTACTTATATATGAACTATTCATGTAAGAAAGGCATTGGAACATCAGACTCCAGAATTGCTAAGAAAGGAGTACTGCTGAACTTTGTCAATCATATTTTCATATTTTTCCTTTTCAGTTTTTAAACACAATTTGTTGAACTTTTCATTAATCAATTCCCCCTTTCCCCCCCAGTTTCTAAACTTGTTGTATTCTATTAGGAGTTTGCTCTTCCATGGGTTAGGAGTTCATTGTTAGCAGAGGCCTGATTCAGGACAGCATTTAAGCATATGCTTAATTTTAAGCCCAGTTTAAGTCCTATTGAAGTTAAACACATGCGCCCCTGGATCATAAGTGCCTTCCTGAATACGGCTCTCACTTGGGATTTGAGAGTACACAGTGCTTTGTACCTCCTGTGACAATTCACTTTAGAGAGAGGTATGGGAGCATCTTGCAGAGCCAAGCCCTTGGGTTCTCTGTTATGCTATCCTGAATTTTCAGAGTGAATTGATCTGAGCTGACTTCCACCCTTCAGCAACAAAGATTTTCAGATTCTCTCTTGGCTTTTAACTGTATGCATTGTTAGTTGAAAAGTGCAGTGTTTATAAAGGAGTAACTATGCTGAAAAGCAGTTGTATATAATATTTTCATTTCTATTAAGTAACTGATGACACATTTTATCAATTTTATTTTTTCTCCCTTAAACTCTTAAGTAAAGAAGAATCCCGTCACACTATGAATATTTATTTTCAAATAAAAATAATGCAAGACAACCCCTCTGGAATGCAATGTTTTTGGTACTGTATAAAATTCCCAGAATATTATTAAATTGTCATTGGTGGAGTGAGTATATGTTGTGTGACCAGTGCAACACATATATGATAAGAGGAAAGAAAAGAGGTTGTCTCTCACACAGTCTTTTAACTTACCTTGCAATTACAAAGAGTACACAACTGACTCCAAGGCAGGCTAGGAGGACATACATCCAAATATCAGGAGAAAGAGGGTTGAGAAAGGAGAAAACACCAGGATTTGTGCCATTGGGTTTCCGGTACAAAATACTGATCCCCAGTGTCATGAAGGGTTTTGAAAAGTCGATTACTTTCTCCCTTACGTAGGTGATAGTGAGAGGAGCAACCGCCAGATCGGCTTTCTGGGAACACAAATTGGAAAATATTCTCATTTTCTCTGCATTCAACAAGCATATTTTTATTCCTTCCACCTTTTCCCATGGGTATTAAACAAGCTAAAACAAACATGTCTAGTTTTGCCTAGAAGCTGAACTGTAATTGAGTGTAAAATAAAAATTCTTGGTTTACTTACTAAAGGTCATTGTGGGCAGAAAAACTACTTCAGAAGAGCTATAGTAATTTGAGTATGACTGAAACAGTTTACATCAAGAAACTGTGGCAAAACAGTGCATTATTAGGACGTTACCAGAAGCAGAATGGACAAGTCTGACATATTATTCATGGGAAGTGAGCACCCAAACAATTCAAAGCTTTTCCTTGTCTTTGCAGACACCGAGATCCTTTGATGCAATAATACGGGCACCTTTCCAATGGATAGGGTAGGGCATGATTTGCAGAGCCTGCAGGGGGGCTCAGCACCGCTCATGAACTGCAGAGCAGTGAAGTGCAGCGGCTCCCTGCCTACTGTTGTGTAGGGGAGATTGGGTCTACTGCTATGGAGATTTAACTATCATTGCTGCAGAGTAAGGGCCTAGGTGCTGGGTGAACTACTGTAGTCTCAGGGCTGTCATAGTAGCCATGGATGAGGTCTACAGTGTGGGGGAATGTATTTCTTCCCTCCTAGAATACCCCAGCACTGGGGGGAAGGATTTTCCCCCAAAATGCAGACCTTAAGTACTTGTCTTTGCTCAAAGGCTTTTCTGCTCTGTGAAAACGGCTAGTCCTCCTGTTAATGTAAACACTTCATTTGACTTGGCTTCTTATAAACTATCTTAGGTTAAAGTAGAATAAAGACAGAACAATTCATTCTTACATGATCTATGAGTTCTTTGACCATCCCATTCCACTCTCCTTTGTCATTCTGGGCTCCATATTTACCATCAGAAACTAGTTTGACCTCATAGATGAAGCCTAAAATATTTGACAGTTCCTTCAACAAATCCAGGCAATATCCTTCAAATCTGTCATTTCCATACAAGGGCTTATCAGACTTTTTGTACATAACATAGGGATCTTCCTATAGAATAAACACACCAAACATGTAACAATAGAAATGAGGTACATTTCAGATAATCTCAGTTTATACATTACACAAATAATTGGATGATTTACTACAGTTGTACAGGTGCAACAAATTTACCCTGTCCATTAAAAGTCATCTTAGATATGTTAGTAAATTGCCCAAATCAATCAGCTATAAATGTCCTGGGTCTGAGTTTCATGGGATCTGAGGGACTGTTACTCCCATTGGCTTTAATTAGAGTTGTTGGTGTTCAGCGCCTCCAAAATCAGGCCCAAGATCTATACTATATAATGTGCCATGTTAAGGGATGGGTAAGGATACTGCAGTAGTACAATAAATACTAGACCAAGAATCATAAAGTAAACCTAAAAATTGACTTTCTAAATAAAACAAACCTTAAAAAGTATGAAATAATATAGCCATTGACTGGAATATATTCATGGGAGAGAATAAAAAAATAGCATAGGTAGAGTGGTTTTGTGTACAGGGTATTTCCTTTTCAGCTCTGGGCAAGGCAGGTGTCTGTAGTTTTAACCTAAAGCGCAGGGCTCCTGGCAGGGGAAAGTCAGCAGAGAGGAAGTTGTGGCACAAGGAATCTGCAACTTTCCTTTCTCTAGGGAACCCAGAACCAGCCAGTACAGCCCAAGAAGTAGCAGCACTGGCCAGGAAGACAGGGATCAGGGTGGCTGGAGGATACACAGTTCAACACATCCTCCCCACCGTAACTTCCATTCGACATCAGTGAGGATGTACCAGAATCTGTCTGTCCACTCTGCACCATAAGCTGCTCTTCTCGTCCAACCTTGTTTGTAGTGAGAAGTCAGAACATGTACACGCTGACTATAAAAGTTAGTATTTGGGTGTGTGAAATTTTCTTTGTTGAAAGAAATACAAATTGTTTCTTCAAAGTACAGAGATAAGCTAAACATAATTTGGAAATGTGATTACTTTAGTGTATAGATGGATAATGGGCAGTTTGAGTCTGTGTCTATATGCAAATAATATGCTGGGCTAGAAACATGGGGTGAAAAGAAGAACAGGAGTACTTGTGGCACCTTAGAGACTAACAAATTTATTAGAGCATAAGCTTTCGTGGACTACTTAAGTGGGCTGTAGTCCACGAAAGCTTATGCTCTAATAAATTTGTTAGTCTCTAAGGTGCCACAAGTACTCCTGTTCTTCTTTTTGCGGATACAGACTAACACGGCTGTTACTCTGAAACATGGGGTGGTTTGTCAAACCATACATTGGTACAGGGAACCACAAAAGATGAAGTGCGGAGTTTAGGCTGAAAAGGAAGGCTTCATATAAATATGTAAAACAATGTAAGCAATGTATGATCTATTCTACACTATGGATAATAATATTAACACTGAGTCCTGTGGCACCTTAAAGACTAACAGCTGTATTGGAGCATAAGCTTTCGTGGGTGAATACCCACTTCGTCAGACGCATGTGGGCATTCATCCACGAAAGTTTATGCTCCAATACATCTGTTAGTCTTTAAGGTGCCACAGGACTCTGTTGCTTTTTACAGATCCAGACTAACACGGGTACCCCTCTGATACTTAATATTAACACTATGCAGCAGGACTTACCAAAATGGTAGTGACTATGAGTGTTCGGTTAGCCAGTGAATCGGTGATATTGGTAGATCTGTCTTTATTGCTGTCAGTCATATTAAGGCCACTATTTGAGTTCCAAACCCCAATCTGCACAGAACAAAGTAGATAAATGGCTGCTAAGCCTCGGGGATTGCATTCAGTGAAATTATGTATAATTTTCCATAAATGTGCATTATAGTTCACAGTCCAAAAAAAGAACATTGATACCATACATCACTGTGATAAATTAAAACATAAGCTGTATGAAATGTTTCAGGAACAAACTGGTTATAATTCTAAATAAGGGAACAACATCAAATGGTTGATTGTCGTATTTAAATCATTAGGAACACACTGCTCTTTCAAAAGCAGGTTGAAATGAATTAACCATGAGTATAAGGTATGTCAATATAGCTGTGCATTTGCCCATTTACTACAAAAGTGGAACGTGTTGACTTTGTTTCCTCCTAAAAATGTCAAATGTCTATTTTCATGAAATTGGTTCTTTTTGTAAATGGTAAAGTTGAAACATATGGCAAGACCTTTCCTTTCCAAGACAACAGATTAAAAGCTTGGATAAATATGCTGAAACAGATTGATGGATGCACTGGCCTTTTACTTTTGCTCTGAACCTGCTGAAGGCACAGATGATTATTCCAGTCACTTCTTGACTACTGATAAGACAGAACCATCAAGGTGATGCCATTTCACCTCCGATCAGTATTTGTCAGTAAATGCAAAAGACTAAAGGAGAATGTAGGTTTAGATTCCTTTCCAATCCCCACAATAAGTAGTAACTCCAGCATTTAGGGCCTGATCCAGAACCCAATATAGGCAAGAGGGAGGCTTTCACTGATGTCAATGGATTTGGATCAGTATCTTTACAGTGGTGCAAATTACAAAAGTAAAGTTAATTTATTCAGATAAATATCAACTTTACATATATTCAAATTTAAATCGTCTCAAGATTTTATTTCCAAATCTTTCTGGTATTAATGTCTTTTAAAATAAAGTTGTATAGATTTGGAAATTGGGCAATAATAACTGACCCCACACAAGTTTTCCTCCTGAAAAAATATTGTGCCTCCAAATAGGCGTAATTAAAAATGCTACTTGCCTAACTTTGCACAAGGCCCCAGTTCAGCAAAGTATTTAAGCACATGTCTAAGTAAACACATGAGTAGTTCCATTCACTTCAATGGGGCTATATATGTGCCTAAAGTTAGACATGTGCTCAAGTACCTTGCTGAGCACATGTCTAACTTTAGGCACATGTATAGGGGCCTAAGTGCCCGGCTCTGCAATATGTTGAGTGCTCTTAAAGCCTGCTGAAGTCATTTAGCACCTCACAAGACAACTGGCACATTGAAGAATCAGGCTGAATGTGAGAGCCACTGTTCTGAATGGGCTTGATCCTGCTAGGTGTCGAATGTCTCCTACAAGACATGAATGCCCAGATCCACAAAGGGACATAAGTGTTCCAATGCTGAGAGTCACAATGCCCAACTTTTAGGTGCTTAGAAAAATCACAGGAACAACATTGCGATCCACAAAGCCTGAGTTAGGTGGCTAGGCTCCCTATACAATGAATGGGGAAAGATAGGGGCCTTAAACTGCCATCCACAAAAGCCATCACACTAGTCAGCTCCCTGCTAGCCAATGGCAGATGCTGACTGGATCAGGGCAGAGGTATGTCTTAAGCCCTGCCCCTATCTCTGCTTGCACTCCACAACTGGGAAGTCTCTTCTGGAGTCAAGTGGCTTAGAAGCCAAAGGTGTTTCTTGTGAGATGGAGCTAGGTGCCTGTCAGTCTCCACACAAGGCATCTCGGGGGTGCATTTCAAAACCTTTAGCCCAGTGGTTAGGGTACCTCCTGGGATGTAGGAGCCCCCCTGTTCAATTCTGCCCTCTCCTTGGTGAGGAGAAGGGAGTTGAACAGGAATCTGTCACCTCTCTGGGTCTCTGGGTGGGTCTCTCTCCACATTAACATTCTCTCCCCACCACCAGATCAGGCCAAACAAGCAAGACAGGTGTTGGCGTCACTAGGCATAGCTACCAGGTAACTCGGGGGAGTGGAAGGCCATAAGTGCCGATGAAACTCCTGCGCTCTGGGTCTAGGTAAGCCATAATAACTTTATTTTGTGAACTTTTACCTACTTTTATGCTAACTTCTTACATGCTGTAGCAGAAATGTAATGGTCAGCTTTTCTAGCAAAACACAGTAGAGATAAGGACAGGGGGAAGGGGGAGGGAGAAGCCTCTACGTCTTAGCCTGCGAAGGCCGAAGATAAGCAGACAAATGGGAACTGTTCTAATAAGCCACAATGTGTGTCTGCTGTAACTGCTCGAGGAGGGAGGGGTAGAAAGGGTAAGAAAATAACACAACAAAGGCTTGCACAGAAACAGCTTGAAATATAAAATGGGACACTTGCTTGTATTTGCTGTGCTTAATTTGAGACACGCTGGTCTCCTAGTGCCTATTCAGAGCTCTTAAATAAAATTGGTTTGCTTCTCCACCTCGGTGTCTTCATTAATGCAAAGCACAGCAGGCAACGAACCCCGCTGTTGCCCCCCTCGGGCCCTTTTGGACCGGCAACACAGGCACTCCTCTGCCTACCTTTCCCCCCAGTCTGTGGATTGCATTGGGGCTTAGGTGGGTGATTGGGGCCTGGGTGCCTACAGCGGGGCTGCAGTGTGCATGCCTAGAGGCAGAAACATAGGCCCCTAGGGAATATTTACAGCAGAAATGTAGGTGCTAAATGAGTCTAGGTGCCTACAGAGTTCGGTGGCAGCTGAGCAGGAGTTTTGTGTACAGCAGAGGAGTCTAAAGCTGGGACTTAGGTGCCGAAATATGGGGTTTAGGCATGTAAGTACCTTTGTGGATCTGGGCCTATGTGCCCTCAATTTTTATGGGATTGAATATGTCACTTCAACGGGAACTGACTTCAGTGGGGATGGAGGGCACTGAGCATTTCCAGGATTAGGCCCTGAAGTGACATCTGAATACAGCAATTTGAAAATGGAGCTTTTCATTATCTATCTATTGTTAGACACTCGTGATGAAATGACATATGCAGAAGATGTTTAGAGAGTATTCAGTATCTTTCTATGCTATTAGAAAACGTGATGAATGAAGCATAATATGCCTTAGACCAAATTAATGCAAAAAATGCACAAAACGAGCAGATTCTCTGTACCAACATTCCAGGCTTTTGAAAGGTTAGAAAAAGAATCTTGCCAAGTTAACTGTCAAACAACCGGAAATACAGAATCAAAATATCTGTTGCTGAGGAATGATACATTTTACAAAGCTCACCACAGGTTTTACTTTAATTGCATGGAAAGATTTTCTTCTTAACCTGAGCTAATGAAACAACAACCTCCACTTTGAGGAGCAAAATCAATACAAAAATGGTATATGAGCCATCTGCGTTAAACTGCCAATTTAAATATGATCAATACCCATATAATGATCCACACTCATTGATTTGTTAAAACAGTCTGGAATGATGTCACAAACATCACTTACCATCTTAGGCTAGAAGAGTTGACCAATGTACCTTGGATTTAAAGAGACAGGGCCAGCTTTGAGTCTGGTCCATTCAGTATACATATATTTTAAATTGAAAGTTTGTGAAAGGTACCAGATTGATGGCTTTGGGGACTGGCATACTCCATCCTCGGAACAGCATGCTTCATTACACTGGTCTGCCAGTGCGTTTCAACCGTATCCTGGAGGGACCAGCTTTGAGTGCCTCCCTGCTGAGATTGCCAACAAGGCTGCCAAATCAGACCAAGACTGAAACTGCTGACCTGCCTCACATACTGTACACCTCCATCAGCTGTCAGATGGTCAGTCACTACTGACTCAGGCGGGATTCGTTGAGATTATTAACTGAGGCAGGGACTGTCTTTTCTTGTCCAGAACCCAGCACAATGGGACACTGCTCCCGATTGGGGTTTTGGGGATTGCTATTATATAAATATTACAATAACAATTATATCATTCAAATTATCTATGGCTGAAAGCCCCAGGATCCCATTGTCAATTTCTTTAGCTAACCATTTCTCCTCCTATGGCATTTTTAATTGGGATAATGTTGCTCATGATTCCTTCCCCTCCCCATACAGACACACACACACACGTCTTTTAGGTTTCTTTTGCTTCCAGGAGATCAATTTGATCTGAAAAGTATTTGTATACATGACGTGTTGGGCATAATCAGTTTAGTTAATCTGGGGCCGTGATAAATAGCTAGTTTCTTTTCATTTGTTTTGGGGCAGTGCGCATTAATCAAAAGCTATTCTGCTCAACGTTGCTAACTTCCTGACACACTGGTGTGCTTGAAATAGCTGGCAATGAGGAAGAGCAGAACGGTCATACAGAACATGGAATAGTACAGTCAGTGTATACACAATACATCAAGATGGCCACTGTACATTAAAATTAAAGGAATGACACTGTAGGTCAGTCTTGATACTAACAATGAAAAAGGTCAGAAGGGCATTGGATGAATGAGGCCAAGGTATTACATCACTATGGTGAATCTGGAGGGGTTTATTGCAGTTTAGTGACAAATTCAAGACATATAATATGCCCTTCTCAATGAGTCTGTGTTCTGAACCAATTGTAATTTGGTTTAAATTAATTCAACGTAACATGAAATGCCTAGAGTCAAAAGCTAGATTGGTTCAATAAGCTTCTGTATGTCAGGTAGGATGATCTATCCACTAGTAATGGGGAAAATAGAATCCGTTGTGCCTTAGCCTGATTCACTGAAGATTAAAACAAGGTTATTAAGTATGTGTTTTATTAGATTAGAAAAAGAGTGCTATAGGACACTCAGCTACTCTAGAGTAGAGTGCCAAAAAAAAGTATTTTTAAATGGGGGGAAAAAGTTTAACGTTTTTAAAGATGTATGCAAAATATAGTTGTTATTTTACACAGCATTTTTTTATCTGTATATCCCAAGCACTTTACAAAGGTGGGTAAGAGATTATTATCCCCCTTGTATAGAGGTAGAAAACAAGATTCACAGAAGGCTAAAGGCCTTATCAGAGGTGCTGAGCACCTGTAGTGCCCTTCGACTTCAGTTGGAGCTATGGGTG